ATTACAATTGTGATTTTCTTGACATTTAAGCATTTGGGTATATGCTTCTTTGTGAGGTAAACTTATTATGATCATGAGCAAAACATTTTATCAATTGTTTTAATACTGGGAACAAAATTTTACCCTCCAAATAGTTTATATTTTACCTATAAATTTTGAGTTTAATTACCGATTTACCTATTTTTATTGTTATAAAAGATTGATTTTAGACATGCTAAGTGTGTTAACATGGTCCACACATTGGAATTGAGAAATGATCACTTACCCAACTTTTGCAGCTGATCTTTATTTTTTTTTAAATTCCTCTCTGGGTACTAGTAATTAGTAAACACCAAAAGGGTAGTTTAGTCTTTAGATATATTCGTGGGTACTAGTAATTAGTAAACACCAAAAGGGTAGTTTAGTCTTTAGATATATTCGTAGGGTTCGATGGAAGAATCAAGAAATAGACGAGGATTTTTTTGACGTGAATGATTGGGAATGAGAGTAAATAACATTATGGATAAGCGGATATTAACTAACTAGTTTATAATCCGTGGGAACCATAGTTACAAAAATAAATTAAATTTTTATAGTAAAAACTCAAAATTATTAATCAATTATTTTAAATAAATTCTTAATTAAGAGATTTTTTTTAGTTATATAACATTATAATCATTGATTTAAATAAATATGTGAAATTATATCACTTTATAATTTGTATTAATTTTATTTTAATTTCTATTTTAATGTTATTAATTTAATGTAATTAGAGTGAGAAATTTAAATTTTAAAATAGAGAATCAATAGGTTGACAAGTGGTATGCATTAATTAAGATGCATAATAGGGTGACACATGGCAAAATGAGAATAAAATATGCATTAATTAGGAGACTAATAGGATGACACATGTCAAAAGAAGAATAAAATTATTCTTTTATTAGAATAGGAAGATGAACCCTTTATTTTTAAAATAAATCGGGTATTACCCGAAAATATATCTGACCTAATAAAAAATTAGGTTACCCGAATACCTAAAAATATATACCCAACTTACCTAACCTGATTTGCCCGAATTGAAAACGGGTCGGACGGGTAATTCGGGTTTCGGTTATTTTCGTGTAACGTCGAGTTTCAGCTATGTTTCTTTTTAGTAAGTTTATATGTTGGATGTTGGATTTCTGGTGGCCACGGCGTGGTGATGGAGTCCCACGGCGTGGCCAAGGCCAAAGTTGAGCTTTGAGCTAGCGCCACAGCATGACTTCTATTCGCCACAGCGTGGCCGTTGTTTAGTGGCAAACCCTAATCTGGGGTTTGAACCCCTTTAAGGGAATGTGATGGCTAGGGTTGCCCACCCTCATCCTCAATCACTCTCCCTCAACCTCCAAGTGAAAACCCTAGCCTCAATTGCTACGCTTTGAGCTTTTATGTGTTTTGGTGTTGTTTTGAAGAAGAAGAAGGCACCCTTGAGCTTTGTTTCAGCAAACAACTTTCCCCATCTACCTTGAGCACGTTATCGGACTCTTCTAAGTCCCCAAGATCCAATCTTTATGTTATTTGTCTCTAGATCTAGCCCTTTTGTCCCTAAATCTTCATGGTGTGAGAAATTGAAAGGTTGGATCTCATAAATTTGACAACTTTGTGGATCCATGTGGTCATTTAGTGTCATATGTTCCAGATTTGAGAATCTATGGAGTTTTTGGTCCCATGCTCAAGCTTAAGTTCCTTATTTCCATGTTTTTTTTACCTAAAATGGAAAGGACGTGCATTGGAAATGCATGTTTATAAAGCTACGAACTTTATGGCTTATTAGGTGTAAGAAACCATTCTGGAAACCTTGGGTGAACAACTCTAGAGATTGGATGCTTAATGGGTGACTTTATGCATTTAGTCACCTTTAAGGAATTAGGGTTTGGGATCTTGACTTTTTAAGGTGTCTTAATGGATAAAGTTGGAAACTTTATCAATCAAGACCATGGGCAGGACCATATCTGAGCTTTGAAGCTCTTGAAGTTGTAGGAAAATGGCTTAATGGATTAAGTTGTCCAGACCAGTCCCCACGACGTGGTCTTAGGTTTCCATGACTTGATGACTAGGTAAGAACCCGTCTGCTTTGTCGTTTAGCGGTCACGACGTGGCCAACGATGACCACTGCGGTGCCATGATCGACTGCGAGGGTCAGCGCGTGGTAGTTCGAACCCCAAGTGGGGGAGAACTGATTATTTATGGAGAGGGCACCAGGGTGGGTTCAGAGTTTTGTTCTGCAGCCATGGCTCGACAGTATATTCAGAACAGGTGTGCAGGTTACTTGGCCTGTGTGGTGGATACACGAGTTGGGGACCGGGTGTCGGTTGCTGATGTTCCGGTTGTCAGGGAGTTCGTTGATGTATTCCCAGAGGAGTTACCCGGCGTGCCTCCAGAGAGGCAGGTCGAGTTCAGGATTGACCTCGTGCCAGGTGCGGCCCCGATTGCCAAGGCGTCGTACCGGTTGGCACCGCCTGAGATGCAGGAGTTATCATCTCAGTTGCAGGAACTTCTGGGCAAGCAGTTCATCAGGTCGAGTAGTTCTTCGTGGGGAGCACATATTTTATTTGTCAAGAAGAATGATGGTTCACATCGGATGTGTATTGATTACCGGGAGTTGAACAAGTTAACGGTGAAGAACCGTTATCCCCTTCCGTGGATTGATGACCTCTTTGATCAGTTGCAGGGTGCATCTTGGTTCTCCAAGATAGATCTGATGGGTTTTAGGTGAAACAAATAAACTAGAAAACAATTCCTAAGTTCACATGCAACCTACTT